AGCATCTATTTTCTTTGAATGAAGGCTGTGACACAAATGACAGGAACTGTTATCTGTTGCTGGTCCTGTGGTTTAATTCAGTGACTTGATGTATGAGAATTAATGTATGAGAGTGAACAGGCCATGGACCACTAATGTTTTAAATTTTAAACCATAGTTGGACGTTTTCGTGTAGCCATAATGATAAAATGATGAAGAATTTTATTTCTTCTTTTTTTTTTTTTTTTTTTTTGACCCTGTAGCATTTTGCTGCTTGTAGACGTTGTCTTTTTTTTTCTATTCTTTTTTTTTTCTTCTTCTTCTTCTTTTTGCTGCCGGTGCTACTCAACTTCATTTTGACTACCTTCCCCAGATTTATTTATTTGGCCTGACAGATTTACATATCAAGTGTTGCCACCTTCTGTTAAATGAAGGGTTGTTATGGCTGTGTGTCAATTCACATAAGTCTTCAGTATGTGAAGAAATCCCCCTTTTCCTTATGCGTTTTTACTTAATCGGTGTAAGTCACTAATGTTTTGACACCGGCTGCTATGTTCTTTCTGTCATAATTTTTTTTGAAGAGGGGGGAAAAAAATCTGGTTCCACATGTTTTATATTTTTTCCTACAGAAGCCATAACAGTTTAATAATAAGCTCTAACACTCTGCAGCATTTCAGCCGCCATCACTATGCTTCCACATGTTCAAAGACGATGGTTGTCGCTTACTGTTAATACCTTCCCTTCCTCTGTCCTCCTCCTCCTTCCACCTGTCCCGTCACGTTACAGGAGCTGCTACCTCTTGTGCTGTCTTTCGAGCTCCCTGCAATCATGCAGTCTGACCCCAGCTCGCCCACTGTGCAGCACATCTCGCAGACCTACAACCTCACAGTCTCCTTCAAGCCCCCGACACGTCTCTATAGAGCCACAGGTGTTGTTCGCGGCTCACAGAATAATGCCAACGCACTCAAGGTAAGAAGGATCTCACGGTTTAGAAGTGACGAATGGTCTTTGGCATTTGAGGGTTGTGTGAAACAGATGGTCAAGGCTTTTTGTTACTAATTAATAAGAAAATTATGGAGGGAAAAATGCACATTACAACTTTCCACAGACTAAAGCGATAAAAAAGTACGACATTGTAAAACATGAAATGCATGAAACCAGCAAATGCTTACATTTTATAGCCAGGAACCAGTGAATATTTAGCTGTTGACTCATTAGTCTGTTTTAAGCATTTCCTAATACTGCACCAGCTGTATTAATAATTTAAACTCTGTAACGTCACCTTTTTATTTTGTGGCAAAATTATGGAAAGGCCAAACAGTCCTTGTGTGTCCTGTAAAATATGCTTGAACTCTGACCTCTGTACTCCTTCTCAGTCATTTCAGTTCTGTAATATTTTAGTGAATCCATTTACATGTTGAACCACGCGCCCAAAATAAGGGTTTCCTGAGCCACGCGTTAAGGCCCACCAACACTTTCGGCATGCCTCACTTTTCTCATATAAACCGCTTCATTACATTCGGCACCACAGGGGCAAGAGAGTGCTGAGAGATTTTTGGTCACTCAAACTGGACGGCTGCTAGTTTAGCTCTCCACTGCAGGGGAGACTGTGTCCCACTACTGTATCAGCAAGTCCACAAGCTCCCCTCAAATGAAACTGTACTTTAAATTAGTCTCTGAGTTTCTTGCAGTCTTTTTTTTTCTGCTGCTTGTGTATGTTCGTAATCATACTGTATGTTTCCTATATATAAACATACAGAGATGTATTTCCTCAACAGGCATCTGGCTTAGGATAGTGCCAGGGAGGTTTCTCATAAATCTCTGCCAAACAAATCATAGCCACCATTCCCCCACCCCACTACCAAGCTTTAGTTAACAACATGGAGTTAATTTTAGTTTGCCAACAGTTGCGTTTTGCATATGTGCATTTCTGCGTTCATTTATTCATCAGTGCCAGTGCACTTTTATTTGGATTTGTATGCTTGTGTGCATTTGTGTGTTCCTATGTACAGCACATGTGTTCATATGCAGAAACATTGCCCCTGAGTTTGCGGTAGGTCTGAGGGGTCAGTCAGGACTGGGAAGAATGCCAGATGAAAGCTGAATGCTATGTTGTGTGGTGGCGTGAGACCCTTAGTGGTTTTGGCAATTCTTAAAGGTGCTCTATGGATTGTTGTCTTATGTTGGCCACAGTGTGCAGATTCCTGTAGAAGAGGGGAAATGACATACTTTACAAGGCCAAGTGATGGCTTGCAGAGACGGCAAAGAATGAGACTGTTAAGATGGCCAGCACAGTTTAAAAAAAAAAAAAAGCAATAATTTTCATTGGTTATATAGAAAACACTGGTGCTTTCTCTGAGAAAGCACCAGCTTTGCTTTACTGCTCTGTGAAACAATTACTTTGTAATCTGGCCTGGATACTGCTTAAAATGAAATGTTGTTTTAGCCTCTTGTTCGCTTATCTTTTTTCTTTTCAAGACTAACAATTCATCACATCTTTACTTAATTTAATATGCACTGTTTTATATTCATATTTAAAAAATGCAAATTGCTAGTTATAGTCTTGTATTCTTGGCAAAAATATTGTTCTCTTGCAACGAGTATGCATCCAAAATGAGATGCATTATTTAATATTCCTGCCTGAAAAGTTAAATCGATGAATGGATTTGCGTTTATTTAGAAGTTATCAAAGGCCACAGTCAAACATTTATTGGTGGTTCCTCATGAGAGGATTCATGGCTTCGCTAAGTGTCTTTGTATTATGGATTGAATACTAAACAGTAATTTGATAACTTACTATCATAGACAGAATAGTGTTTTGTTTTGTTTTTTGTAATGACTGCACTTAATATACACAAATGTTTCTGTACATAAGCCAATAGCACCAAGGCACACTCAAAATCCAAGTGGTGCTTAACATCAACACATTAACACATGCTGAAGTTGGCTGCTTGGTTCATTGAGACTGTGGATGCCAACACTATGAAATGTACATTTATTGAAGTATTAGTATAACCTATGAATTGCTCTGTATAATTTCAAAGGAAAGTCAAGACAGCATTTTGGGTGCAATTTCAGGAGGACTCAAGTAGAAAGAGGAGCCATTCATAGGAAGACTAAGATGAAATCCATTAAAAGAGCTAAATCTCAAAGAATGATCAGATGGCTATCATGCATAACAATTTACAGCAGGGAACATTTTGCTGTTTTTCAGTTGCCTTAGCAGTCATGCGAAGAGTCTTCACGGGACAATGTCCTGTACAATGCTCAAAGAAATTGCAAAATACCCAAGAGCTACATCTGAGACGACGTGCCTCAGTTAGCATGTTAAAGTTCATGACAGTCCAATTAGGAAAAACGCTGAACAAGTATGGCTTATTTGGGAGGCTTGCCAAGAGAAAGCCTTTTCTCTTTAAAGAAAACATGGCAGTGCAGCTTAGGTTTGCAGCATTTCATCTGAACAAACAACAAGACTTCTGGAAGAATGTTCTTTGGACAGATGAGACGTGATCTCCAAAGTGGACATGTCTAACTAAAATGCAGAGCGCCACGTTTGATCAAAACCGGCTGGTCAACACAAACACGCCATACCGTCTGTCAAGGATTGTGGTGGCGGGGTGACGATTTGGGCTGGTTTTGCAGCTACAGGAACTGGGCACATTGCAGTCATCGAGTCAACCATGAACTCCCCTGTACAGCAGAGTATTCTAGGGTCAAATGTGAGGCCATCTGTCTAACGGCTAAAGCTTGGCTGAAATTGGGTCGCGCAACAGAGCAGTTATTCCAAGTACACCAAAAAATCTATATCAGAATGTCTGACATGCTGTGGCAGGACCTTTAAGAAGGCTGTGAGTTAAAGAATATCTGCAAGCTGTGAACTGAAAAAGCACTGTAAAGAAGAGTGGGGCAAAACTCTTTGTTATTGTGTAAAGCATGGGATTTGCTTATTTTTGCACACGACTGCAGAGAATCCTGTGAAAAATGGTTTGTTTTTTGTGTTTTTACTTTTAAATCTAATTGGTGATTATCCTGTGAGATAAAATATGCTAAAATATGTTTTCTTTTGTAATCCCTGTTCAGAGAGGTACAGCTCTGCTACTGGAGCACCTGGCCGGTAGCCTGGCTAGCACTATCTCATTGACCACCCACCTGGACATCGCACCGCAGCACCACCTCTTCATGAAGGGACGCAATGGCAGCAACATCAAGCACATCACCCAAAGGACGGGAGCTCAGATCCACTTCCCTGATCCCAACAGCCCCCAGAAGAAATCTACAGTCTACATTCAGGGCACCATCGAATCTGTGTGCTTGGCACGGCAGTACCTCATGGTATTCATCTTCAGTGTGTGTTTAATTTATTGACAACTGAAAAAAAGAATGTGAAACTGCTAAGCCAGCCCCTTCCAACTTTATTTTTGTGGTTAAGAGATGGCATTTGCGTTATATTCTTACATGTACAGATTCCACATACTGTGTGGTAGCTAGAATGGATGCCACTGTTTCATCAGTATCATCATGGTATGTGTGAATGATGCATGGGTTTTCAGATGTGAGTTAGGAAGTAAACCACGATTGCCTTGAGGGTTTTGAATAGCCTTGGGAGAGATTTGCTTGGCTCTAGTCGAGCTGCTGAAATGTCTGTCAGATAAACAAGAATCTGTAACCGACTCAAGGTTAGCACACATGGTTCATAGCTGCTACATACCTGCATGTAAGATGGACACAATTAGTTTGGCTTGACTTCTTTATGTCCTTTCTATGCCTTAAAAAAAGAAGAAGATCCTCATGGTAATGGGTTGACCTGCTTTCTGTGGTAGATTCTAGTGGACTGGATATCAACCTGACTGTAATTCAAAGATTACGTTAAAGTTTGGACCAAAGATAGCACTTCATATTTAAATTTCACTTGGTTAAAATGCTCAGCGGTCATTCTTGTCTTGTTTCCCATGACCGCTGAGGCTACCCGAATCTTAAATTACTTAGGAGTATAATCAGAGGTCTGTTTCAGATATGTGTAAAAGTGATGGCTGTTTAATTACTGTTGGCTTCGGCTGAGCTGGTGTGTATATGACATCTCAGCTGTAAACAGCTTTGGCTTTCTGTTTGGACATCCATAATGTGGGGCAGTAATTCTGCAAGAGCTGCCTTCTCTTTGTCTGCGGTCTCCCAGTTGGCCCCAAAGACATTTAGCAAATGCCAGAGTTGTTTCAGTGACCAAACATGACTTTCTTTTGGAATTGAAATGGGACACACAAGAAGGAGCTTCTTAAGTGTCTTACACTGGTGAAGAGTAAAGAATAAAAATAAAAAAAGATTAATAAGAGATGAGATGGAGAAGAAAGGAGAAACAAAAAGCAATGAGTGCGAGAGGATCGTAGAAATGAACAAAGGGCATAAAAAGGGCTAGGTGAGGTGCTGTAAACTAGATGCAGAATAGGCATACAGGAGTGGGAGAGGCCTCCTCGCGGTAGTGCACTGTGTGATTTTGGCTTCTCATAGCCAGACTATAGATTATAGCTCCAATCTCAAGCCCCGTCAGAGCCAGTCTGGCTCTGCTCTCTGCTGCTAATTACACCCACTCACAATAGGAGCACTGTCCAGCTCTCAGCCCAAAATATAGATGTCTGTGGTGCTTGTGGTGGTGATCATGCAAAACAGATTGCTGTTGGCGGAATTTCCCAAACTCAGTGTGGGATGAATCCAGCACTGAATCTTGTATTTATTGGTATGACCAACTTGCTCTACAAATGGTATACTACTATTGAGAAACGGCTTATATTACTGGAGCACCAGTGCAAACTTGAAAGCTTTTCAAAGAGATTGGTGTGCAGCTGACATAAGAAAATGAACGTTTATTACAAATATGTATTTATTTTGTCTTTGCTCCACAGGGCTGTTTGCCTCTGGTATTAATGTTTGACATTAAAGAGGATATTGAGGTGGAGCCCCAGTGTATCACAGCGCTAATGGAGCAGCTGGATGTCTTCATCAGTATCAAACCAAAGCCAAAACAGCCCAGCAAGGTATGACTTCAAGCCCACACTCACACGGCACGGAAAGTTGGGATTTCAGGCACTGGTACTGACTTGGCTTTGAGAAAGGCAATTTAGTCTTTAAGCTACAGCTACTTCTATCCAAACCAAAATATTTTAACTGTTTCAATGGATTGTCACAAAGTGCTGAAACCTAATGACCTTAGTAAACCCCTGATCTTGCCTTGAGCATCATCATGTGGTTAATCTCTGTGGTTTCATGGCAGCAAATCCAAAGAATGGGTTTAAAACCATTTCCAGCTTTAGAGGATGCATATTGTGTGTACATTGTGTTTTTTAAATTGATCGCGATGAGCCATTTTTGTTTTGTTTGGTTTTTTTGGGGGGGGGACGACGACTCTTTGTATCCTCTATAGTCATATTAACAGTATAGTGTTATCGCACCATAAAGAACATAGAAACAGTTCCAAATGCTGCATCATCTATGGCTTATTAAGCTGGCTTTAGTCCATTTAGCTCACAGTCCACTTTTCTAGATGTGCTTTCAAAATAAACAAAGACCCACATCAAAATCAAGAATATTGTTATTATCAGATTTACTTCGAATGTAGTGGCAGTTAGCAAATGTTTGCATGCAAACACATCATTTTTATTATAAGCTTAAATGAGAAGCTCCTAGTGTTGTTTAAATTAAATAGTTATTTGTTTCCTTTTTTTTAACTAGGAGAGATTGTGTATCCAGGATCATGCTTCAACATTTCCAGTGGCATTAAAAATCATATTTCTAGAGGATATATTTACACACACATTCATACAAGCAAGTTATTCTATGTGCTTTCTATCACATTCACACTCTGACGGCTGCATCGGGAGCAACCTTCCAATTAGGAGATGAACTGAACCACAGCAGCTCCTTAAATATATCCCTTCACAGTTTTGACTGTTGCATGTAAAAAGAGCATAACAAGACACTGGCTAAAAAGTGATCAGTGGCTGGATAAAGTACAAGAAATGCTCATTTTTTGAGGACTAAAACAGGCACCCATAGGAAACTGGACCACATTTCTATAATATTATGAACATCGTAGACTAAAGAAAGTGCCCCGTGTTATTACAGTGTATTTATTCTGCTGTCAACTTTTAGTTACCAGGTTTTATACTTCTCAATATTTCTTCTTCTCAAAGAAAAAATAGGTTTGGGGGGTTCTTTTTGTTTTTAAAAGGAGCTAATTTTTCTTCTTTATGCATTTTACACTTGGGACTGTAATATGTACTTGACAGAGTAATGATTACTTTAGGAGGCAGCGTACAGACACAGTGTTGAGTGTCCTCCTCTGTAACACTAGCTGTGCACTGGTATTGACCGTTACAGAGCTCCTACCAGGCAAAATAACCAAATAAGAGTAATGTATTTACTTAACTAAAGAGAGGAAATATTCCATCCCAGCTGTTTGCTGCTCATATAGTTGCACACAGAGTAGATGTAGATTCTGAAAATGAAGCACACAGAAAAGAACCACATGCTTACATGAATAAATGTTACACAGTGCCAGCATGTTACAGCAATGATAAAAAATTATAGCAAGAACGTTCTGAGTTTCGATCTCCCGGTTTGTTGGACTCTTTGTGTGGAGTTTGCGTGTTCTCGCAGTGCCTGCGTGGGTTTCCTCCAGGTGCTCTGGTTTCCGTGCACAGTTCAAAGACACGCTTGTTAAATTAACTTGTTTTTCTAAGGTGGCCGTAGGTATTCGTGTGAGCGTGTGGGGTTGTGATGGACTGGCAACCTGTACAGGGTGTAACTCATGCCTTGCCCTGCGGCAGCTTCAATGCACTCTACACCCCCCACCCCCCACCCACTGCAAACCTGAACTAATTGAACGAGTAACAAAATGGATGAATGCCTTAACCTTCAGCCAGTCTCATAATTGATTCAAGCATCTGGCATATACTACACTCAGTTTCCACAGTGGTCTTATCTTAAGAAATCACAACATGTATAATAGACTACATTAAAAAAAGCCAAACATCCAGTAAACATTAAAGTTTAGATGAAAATGTGTCCTTTTCTCCCATAGAAAAAGACAGCTGCTGTCCTACTTGTTCAAATGCAGCGTCAGAGAAGGGGAAAAAAACGACTGCTCGAGAAACAAATAAGCCACTGTTCCATTTCAGTTACTTTCCATCAAATGACAGCATGACATTGAAGTAAATTATGGATTGCCTTGTCATATTTCATCACTGCTAAAACTTAGAAAGGGAAAAACTGGATCCCTGTACCAACACAGTGAAGGGTTTTGGCAAGTCGGCATCTGCCACAGTGGGGAATCGCAGTCTCTCCTCTGCACAGCCTGCCATGCATGTTTCATCTGCTGGACAGGGCCAGTCTGTTTTTTTTAGTAGGAAAAGCTGAAGCATAACAAAAAGTAAGTGGCTTCATTCTTGGTAAATTAGGTAGAAATTTGGAGTTAAGCTCAATGACCTTTAATTAAATGTAGCTTCTATTAGTGAAATCTGTTACTCAATCTTTGGCACGCCTTTTTTGTATATACAATTGATCTAATGTTTATAATAGTCTGCTGTTGTACACGTAGTATTCCTAGTCATATTTCACTGTTTGGCCTCAACCTGACCTGCTCATCAAGGTGCCTACGTCCCACCCTGAGTCAGGGCTCAATGCCCAAACCAGACGGGCCTGCGGGGACCGGTGTGGAAGTGCCAGTATAAACACCGACCCAGCCCAGATCCTCTTAAGAACCCTTCACTTAAACATTTTAATGAGGTGACAGAAATAATCCAAAAGGCCAGTCCAAATGGGTGCCACAGCCTGTCTGCTTCAATCACTTTAGCAGTCCTGTAGAGGAGGGTGTGCACGTGTGTCAGGGATATTCACCGCTGATTGAAAAAAAAATTCAGAAGCTCAATTTTGGCAAAATGCAAAAAGCCAGCACTTTGATTTATATTTATATTAAGATCGAATAAAGCAAGGTTTCCAGTCATTTCTTTCAATGATTCCAAATCTGATTGTGAATTTTGTGTTTTTGTTCTTTTTACAGTCTCTTATTTTCTTCTCTCATATCAGACAGATATGTTGATCAAGAAACACTGTCTCTCTCACTGTCGTTCCTCCCCCGTCTCCTTCTCTCTCCCACACTGCCTCAATGTTTATCCTTCTAATCTACCCTTAATTCCCTCTTCCTTCCTCACATTTTATGTTTGTCTTCTCCCTCAGCCTCCCTTTCACTCCCTATCTATGGTACCAACATTCCCTACCCTATCTCTCCCTTGCTCCTCCTCTTGCTTTTCTCTTCTGCCTCCTAGTTTCCTGTTTATTTCCATGTCCATCCCACTTGTTCCCGTTTTCACCGGTTTCTCATCGCCTCTTCCTTCTCTCTCGATCTCTCCCAGTCTGTGATAGTCAAGAGTGTGGAGAGGAATGCAGTCAACATGTACGAAGCCCGAAAATTCCTCTTGGGTCTCGAGAGCAATGGAGTGGTGTCTTCCTCACCCCCTGTGGCACTGAATGCCGGCACTAATGGTCCATCCCCATCTCTCATCTGCCCTGTTGGCCTGGACATCCTGGCCTCAGCTGGCCTGGGGCTGAGTAATCTTGGTAATGACAATGTTTAACTTGCTAAGAAATAATGCTAAATAATGCTTTCTCTATGATTGGGGGAAGGGGAATAAGATGTTACCTTTTATTTCGTGCACAAAATGCAACAGATTAAATTGTATCATGATAGAAGAACTAATATCTTCATGAATCAGTGTCATTCCCAAGCGTGTAACACAAAGTAGTCTCTTTTAGAATTTTTATTGGTTTACTGAATTGAAAAACACAATCCCCCTTTACATAAATCACAGCTGGTGACTCACTGCATCTCTATATGACCTTTACAGCAGGAGCTGTGTGGACGCAAGTCCAAATCTGCACATCTTTGATCAGTCAACCATCAGAAAATAACCTCGGTACACATGTAGTTGCAGCACTTTGAATAATTTATGAGTTTATGAATCACAGGATGATGAACGGTTCTTATCGCGTAGGAGTTTGTCTGCAGCGCTGACCTCAACATCTGAGCCCAACAGAGTCCAGAACTGTTGAGATTAGGGGACATTTTTGTTTCCATGGATGACTTTCAATTGGTTGTAAGAGTGCGTGCAGTGTATAACAAATCTTTAGTCACAGTTATCAGATTTTTGCATTCTTATGATAAAAAAAATTTGGAGATTCAGTCTGTTTAAAAAAACAAACAAACAAAAAACATGGAATTTAGGACATGATTTATATATCAGAGGCAGTCGGAAAGGCAGATAGGATAAGCTGACAGGAAGTGGCTCATTCCTGTAAGCACTAGCTGGCAGTAGATCTGTTGCAATTTATCTGTTAGAAATTTAAATATAAATGCAGTATGTCATCAAATGGCAAATCTGCATTACATTACTGGAATGTGTTTATTTTCTCCTACCACTGACTTGGACCATATGTGATAGTCAAGATGTTGAGTATGTATTTGTGCTGAGAATTTTCTGAGATAATGGGTTTATTTTTGTTATAATTTTGGAAAACCTAGCACAAATGTTTTAGCATATCTTCTGTTAGTTTTGATGAGCATGTGTTCAGTTTATGATTGGATTGTCCCCCCTAGAAAATGAGATTAAAGATTGGCTGCAAAAAAGCTCAGTGTGCCAGGAGAGTGCCCGTACAGTAGAAATCTTTTTTTTGCTGTTTCATTTAAACTCAGGGGCCCCGGGTGAAGCTGTGGACGGCCACATCCTGGCCTTTAGTAATTGCTACATGCTTTTCTTCTTCAGATTACAGACCAGTGTGCCAGAAGAATCCCTGGCCTTATTCCTGGAGCCAAAGTAGCCCCTTGTTAAAGCCACAGACCTGCTTCTTTCTGTTTTCATACACTGCGTTTGGGTTAAGACACCAAGCACCACATTGTTGGTGTTCTCGATACCATAGTTTTATTGGGTATGAGGACACACTAGACGTGTACTTATGCATCCATGACCTTGTAGAAATTTAAGAAATTCTTGCTCTCATTTGCTGTTGGGTTGATGGCAGTTTGATGGAATTCCAGTTAAATAGCTGGAAGACCAAGATTTTTTTTTTTTTCTTAGTGCAACTTATGATTAGCTTGAAAAATGCACTTTGACAGGACCACCACTGATCTATTCATATACTGTCTTCTCCTTTCTTTCCTAATTTCTTTTGGTTACCCTTTAGCCTTCCTGGGTGCAACAGCATCACACTCTCTCCCCAATTCTGCTGCCCCAAACGCTGTGCTGAACAGCTTAAACTCCTCCATGAGCCCTCTGCAGACCCCAAGCCCCAGTAACCCCACTCCTTCCCCCTCCCTCTGGCCAAGTTCACTCACCAGCACCCAAGGTTTGTATATAGTACTGCCAGTAGCTCTTATGGTAAATCTGTATTTTATTTATTTATTTTTTATTCACAAATTATGTGTCTTGATGCATGCTTGACGTGAAAGAGTAAAATCCTTACAAATGTCTCAATCTTTATTTTAACTTTTGGTAATTCAGGTAATGTGTTACATGACAAAAAGCCCTGTAACATTTTTCTTATTACTTTGATATTTTGGAAACTTAAGGCTTCTCGTCTCAGCTGCTGCTGCATCCTGCCACTCAGGCCACCCTGAGCAGCATCCTGCTGTCCGGTGTGCCAAGTTATACACCGAACACACCATCTCCTCCACCTGGCCTCGCCCCCATAGACAAGCAGCCCAACGGGGTCCCTGAGTGCACCCTGAATGGACATGTCAAGGTTGGACCCTTACCAACTTTATATTGTATCACCTCGCTCTACGTTTTGAATGACTGTGATAATAATTATTTTTTCTTTTTTGTGTGGGCATGCACATGTATAGCACTCTGGCTCAGTGTATGGGAGGATAACAACGGCGTCAATTGCAGAAAATGTCTTGAGTCCAGCTCCATGTGACTCAGTCCAGGAAGCCAGTGGCCACAGTCCATCAGAACCACGGTCAAGCAAGTCCAGCCCGGACGAAGGTATTCCTCAAATCATTGCAGTGTCCTTGTCACTGAACACATGTGATTTGTGGCTGAATCCATGCTTTCACATTTACACCTAATTCAGACATTACCGTCTTAATACTGCAGCAGATATTGAGTCTCATCAGAGCAGGCAAAGTTTTTCCAATTACATATTGTCCAATTTTGGTGTTACTGTTTGTTTCGGATCAGATCCAAGCACTCCTGGCCATTTTCCTCTGGCATCATTAAAACATTTTCACCCAGTGATCTGCTGCTTATTGTTTATTTCCTCTCTCAGACTATTCTCAATAAACACTTGAGATGGAGTAAGTAACACATCATTAGAGTCACATTTCTTCACCATTGTTTAAACAGTTTGAACTTCTTAAGGTCCTTTTGACCATGTGTACCTAAATGCATTGAGTTGCTGTTATGTGATACAAGTAACAAGCAACTGAAGAGGTGTACCTAACAAAGTGGTGTATGACTGTGTACTATATAAAATGGCTATTGAGAACAATATAAGATTAATTCTCTCTGCCAAGGAGGTCATGTGATTGGTTTGGTTTGTCTCAAGTTAACGCCCCTCTCCCCTCCCTGAGCCTGGTTATTCCAGGGGTTTCTTCCTGTTAAAGGGGAGTTTTTCCTTCCCACTGTCACTAAGTGCTTGCTCAAAGGCGGCCACCTGAGTTTTCTTAATGTAAAGGCCTGGAGGTGATGTACAGATTTTTATGAACGTTTTTCATTCGTATCTTCACCGTTTTTAATTAAAACATTTAACTTGGCTAAAAAGTCATTTTGAAAGTGTGCACTTATTCACAACTGCGCACTTTTTGTGGTGAGTCATTTATAATAAACAAAGTCTTATGATTTATGTGTTGTTACAGCCTTGGACTGACAAAATGTTTGAGCTGTTAAAAGTTTCAGCTCAGGTTTGTTGGACCTTAGCTTTGCAGACTTAACATAAATGTCCAAATCAGGATTTTCCACTTGAGATTTATGCAACCCTTAAACCCACTTTGAGGAAAATACCTTTATTGTACCCACGTTTTACTTCTCTATACTGTCCTCCTAACCTCATACGCTTTCTGACTACATTCACTGGAGCGGAGACAGATTAACTGCTGGTCTCCTCGCGGTTCAGAAAGGCCCTCGTTTCCTCTGTGTCTTACACTCGCGGTTTTCCCCTCAAACCTTCACTCTCACGCGTCTCGTTTTTCCCCGCTGTTTTTAAAGTTTGTCCTCCCCCGACGCGGTGTGTCCAGTTAAGTTTTCCTCTCCCTCCCTTACCACCTCCTGTGTCCCAGAATGTGTTTGCGCTGGCTTGCCTCGTACAGCTTAACTCCGCTGTGTCAGTTGAAGGTGTCTGGGGATATTGTTCAAACATTAAACCCCAGAGAACTTCGTTTAAGTGGCTGACATCATATTATTTTACAGTATGCGACCCATGTATACTCACACGTGCACATCCTGTTGCACAGAGCAGGTCCTTGTCGGGTTAAAAGCAGAGAAGCGGATGAAAAAGCACTATAATCACAGCTGGTGTGTTTTTAATTAATCTAGAATTCAAGTGAGACCTGTCACAGTTGAATGCATGCACACATGCAGTACATATGCTCACAAGCTAAACATACTCATTCATACTGAATGACCCAGTCACTTCTGAGTGCAGGCTGTGTTATGGTATAAATTGAAATTGATGAAACCTAAGGTATTACAGCTATTGTTGTCATTATGTGTATTTTGTCTGCACAGAAAAAAGAGAATATTCACCATTTGTCCGTGTTTATTCCTTCAGGCTCTGACACATTTGTAGAAGTGGGCATGCCCAGAAGCCCCTCGCACTCCGCTAATGGAAGTGAGTTGAAACAGATGCTGGCGTCATGTAAGACATCATCAGGAAAACGACAGGCTGTGGAGCTCCTGCAGGGCACCAAGAACTCCCATCTACAGTATGTCTGAATCATTTATGACTTCTGTTGTTACTTTTTAGCATCTCTTCCAAAATCTTTTACAGATCATGCTCCTAAAGTTTGATAGTATTCTTTAAATATTGATCTTTACAGACATTAAGATAAGCCCAGAAACAATGGGATCATTTTTATTTTTAAACAATAATAATGCATAAAGTCACAGACTATCCCAAACTGGAGCAACCAGCTGTGGTACGTTATACACATTATACTGGACAGCATTGTTATTATGATGGCTAACTCTATGTTTATAATAATCCCAGTACGTCAGCTGTTTTTGAAATAGTGCAGTGGGATCCATCAACTTTCCCTTGTTTTTTTCCGTATAGATGCTCTGACAGTTGTGATGTTAATATCAAACATGGCCAAAGTTTGAAATAATGAGGTCTGCAAATGTGCAAGTAATCCCCTTTGAGCTGAAAGATCAGGCTTCAGACTATTTTAACTGCTTAGCTGTTTAGCGGTTTGGCTCTGTTTGATGTCAGTCAGAAGAGATATCTTTAACATGGTTATCTCAAGTGCGCAGCTCTGGCTGTGTGAGCACAGAAACCCCACCCGGCTGATCTTCATATTTTTTGTTTGAGAGAGACAGCCAGTCAGAAGAAAGTTGCATGAAAGGGAGCATTGTGTGTTGAATTGTGATTCATGCAAAATTACTAGAGTCCAAAAACTGTACTCTGCTGCGACAAATTCGAATATACATCAGCATTCATGAGAGCGAGCACTTTTCCACGAGTAGCTGCTAGACACGACTCAGCTTTACTCGGTTTCAGTCGTTTTCTATTAGAATTGAGTCAGGCACCTTATTTGACTCAGGTTGTAATAGCAAAGTCACATGATGTCATTGGTATGCGACACAAACGTAATAGAATAACGGAGGCCGTTAAGGCTCAGCCGCTTTTTGTTAGACCGCTGTGTTGTTGGTTTTTTTTGTACTTGGAACCCCGGCTGAGTAAGTACTAAAAAAGTACCTGGTGCCAAAAATGGAAAATCCTTAAAACCGAGGCAAGTCGAGCTGAGTAGATACTAGTGGAAAAGGGATAATGGAGATGCTAGTTACTAAAGGCCCTCTTTAACAGCCTGAGTGATCACGTCAGCAAAGGATGAGCTGAAGAAAGGTTATTTACTGATACAGTGCCTGTTTTAATTCCAACAGTTCTGACTGTCTCCTCTCGGACACGGAGTCCAGCTCATCAGACAGTCCTGTGGCAGATAAGAGGGCACCGGGGAGTGAGCGGGCAGCTGAAAGGGCAGCACAACTGAACGAGAGGGAGAGAATCCGATTGGCACCTCAGACCTCCTTTGCCAACATGCAGGTACACACACACACACACACACACACACACACACACGCACACAGCTAACATGGAAAGAGAGGCCATGGTTTTATTGGCTTTAACCATCTGTTGAATTTTACAGGCTTTTGACTATGAACAGAAAAAGCTACTGGCAACTAAAGGTGAGTTGACATTTTTGTGCCATCAAATAGTGCAATGAGTGTCATTAGCAGTGTGACATATAATTTAGTCCCCTTAAAAAAAATTACATTTATTTCTTTAGCCACAAAAACATCTTCACACTAAATATTATTTGGTGCCCAAATAATTCTTTTATAGAAACATATTTGCATCACTGCTTTTCTGTATTCGCACAGCTATGTTGAAGAAGCCAGTAGTGACTGAGGTGCGCACTCCGACCAACACCTGGAGTGGTCTGGGCTTCTCAAAGTCCATGCCAGCTGAGACTATCAAGGAGCTAAGGAGAGCCAATCACGTCTCATACAAACCCAGCATGAGCACGACATACGAGGTCAGACAGAAATGAAAGTGTTTAACTTTCATTATCGTGATCAATATGTTCAATATCTTAGCATGTACTGATGTTGTGTATATTATAAGAAACATTATTTGCCTGACTGTTGTTTTAGTAGACAGACGTTTGTGTTCTGTATTGGGATGTACAGAATTCAGTCTGAACTTGTTTCTTTTTGGTCCTCAGGGTTCCCCACTGTCGTTGTCTCGATCCAGCAGCCGGGAAGGCGTGGGGAACGGGAGTGACTCTGACAACTGGCGTGAGAGGAACGCCACCAGCAACGGCCTAGCAAGCCACACAGAGTTCGCCTCAGCCGTCAGCAGTCCAAAGAGGAAACAGAACAAATCTGGTCAGTAAATTTTTGTTGTTTTTGTCTTCAAATAATGATGCTGATTAACAATGAAATGAAAGAGAACAAAATAAAGATTTAAAATGTCATTGTGAGCACTCTTGCCTCTGAATTTGATGGTTTTGCTTGTAAGAGTAATATACTCAATATAGCACACAGGGTTGGCACGTTAAAGTCTAGTGAAGCTGCCAGTCTAGTTAATCTGCAGAACAGATGGTCTCAGTCAAAATGGTCCAAATTTTCATCTCTTTAAGTTAAACATTGTTTCAGTACCTGACTGAATGAAAGAAATGTCTCTTTTTAAACTGTCTTGTAGCTGCAGAACATTTCCTCAGCAGCAGCAACTACATGGACTCTATTTCATCAGTAACGGGCACAAACGGCTGCAGCCTGAATTCGTCTCTGAAAGGCTCAGACCTGCCCGAGCTTTTCAGCAAACTGGGCTTGGGGAAGTACACAGACGTCTTCCAGCAACAAGAGGTAATCCTGATTCTGAACCAACTTTTTATCGCACAAGCTTTCATCGTCTTCCCTGGTTTAACTGTAGGGGTGGACGTGTGGGTGTGCCAGACCATTACTTCTGTCCAAAGTGAAATATCCCTGTCATTATTTGTTGTTGCTATGTTACATTCATAGTTTAATTAATTTTTCCTTAACAAGCTGTAGAATTGCATTCGTACATCAAATATTACTGCTTGCATGGCAGGGAGGATATTATGTACATGACCATTAGTCTTGACATTTATGTTTGAAGATCTTTTCTAGATTAAGGTTGTTAAACTGGCTCGTTGCTGCTTCTAGATTGACCTCCAGACATTCCTGACACTCACAGACCAGGACCTGAAGGAACTGGGAATCACCACCTTTGGCGCCCGTAGGAAAATGCTGCTCGCTATCTCGGGTATGGAAAAAAAAAAATTCAGAAAGAGCATTCTCTTGTTGCATTTGATCTTTCTCTGTGCTGTCAGCTGCATGACACTGCAAATAAAACATTTGCATAACAACGCAGAGATACCCACGTTGGTCTTTTCCTGTGCCGATAATCACTCGTACCAGCACGAGCTTCATTCTGCCAGCTCACCTTTGCTGAAGGCAGTTTCATTAATGGGTTTTTTTATGTTTATTGTTTTGTCTGAGTGGATCCCAGCAGTCCAAAAGATAAATAATAAGTTCATATCTCAAAGTTCATAGGTGGTTCTTGTTGTCAGCAAGCCAGAATAGAAGTTAAACTGGTCAGATTTCTGAGAGGACATGCTGCAGTAATTTGCAGCAGCAGCAATAAATGGGATTCAAGCAAATTCTTCTCTGATGAGTGTTTCGGTATTTTCCCAGCTGCTCCAGCTGCCTGTCTCATGCTGATGCAGACTCTTCCCTGTTGTTACACTTGATCTAATGTGAATGTGGTGGGTGTCACACTTCATTACTGACATTATAATAGCCTGCACGAGTTAATAATGTCTGTGTTGGGATCATGAGCTTCCTGTCATGGTTATTGTTTAAATGTTCAGTTCACAAACGTCTGACCAGAGTCAGGGTTGACAGCGAGGGCAATGAGGGGAAATGTCGAGGTCAGCACTATGATTATTAAGGAAGCAGAGGGATCCAAGGCCGGGATCGGTTTTGCTGCCTGTCGCCTCAGCCAAGTCGAGGTCAACTTTCATCTCCGCTGACCGACTCT